TCTGCCCCTTTATTCTGATTGGCTTTCCTGGTTCCTTCCAGATGAGCTCTGATCATTTTCTTTTGATGTCTTTAAGCCACGCCTCCTCCTGCTGAAGGATGGAAGGATGGCTGAGAAGGTCCTCCATCAGGGTCTCCAGGCACCTTGGTCCGTCTGTAAAGCCGTCTCTAAGGGAAGAAGGTCCTGTAGGTCATTTTAATGTGTCACCTGTCAGTCCCAGTCTGGCCAGAGGTCAGAGGTCAGGTCCGTTCTGTGGTTCAGGAACGGGTCGACCCGTCATGAGCTCATGGGGAGGAAAAATGGGAGTCAAAGTTACCAACATGCTGAATTAAAGGAGCTGAGGGAAGGAAAGATCAGATGTTATCTTAGCCTTTCACAAACAATAGGAGATAAAACAAGTTCATGTAGCTTAAAGAACTTTAGATTAAAATTGGAACTTTGTCACAAACCATTGAATTATTCCGGTCTCCTTATTTTTAAGGACTCCAAAGGATCCAGTCCAGGTAGACCGGGTCCTTGGAGGATGCAGCCCAGGACTTCAAACAGAGACCATTTTTCTTTGTTTGTATTAATGAACGAAAGGTAAATTCTATAAATGTCAGGGTATGGTTGAGGCTTTAAGGACCCATACGCAGAGGAGACGTCCTGTAGATTTAATGAAATATCTGAGGCACAAATCCACAAAAAACAAAGAACAATAGACAAGTAACCGAAAACCAGATGACTTTAGAGGAAGACTCAGGTGGGGAGCCAGGAAAGGACGAGGAAGCAGCACTGAGGAACGGCACAGGGAGAGTATATATGGGAGACTGAACAAAGACTGGACTAATGAGCTGATTGGGAGCAGGTGGGAAGAGAGGAGGCTAGAAGGGCAACCAAGAAACACCTAAGAACTCAAATATATCCAGAAAACACCACAAAATAGACAGATTTTATTTTGTCTTTTTGTACACGTGTAAACAAAAAGAACTTTAGAAGGAATCAAATAGAAATAAAACTAGAAAACAAAGGAAAACGTGGATTGAAGTGAAACTGAAAAGAACCAAGACAGGGACAATAAATAACCGCAGCTGCATCTGAGAATACATTTAGAAAGACGCGTAGCTGATAGCTAGCTAGCTTCTCCATGCGGACGCCATTTTGAAGGGGGGGTCCGCCCCTAACGACCACCTCCCCATCAGGAATCGGAACGTCAGGAGAAAATCAAAGGTTTGAAATTCAGTCGGCCGTCCTGAGGTGCTGGTGGTAAATCCTGCTGTTGAAGCAGAGCGACGAGCTGATTTACCAGAATCTGGAGTACCGCCGTGTGAAAACAAGAGAGTCCTTCTTCTTCTTCTTTCAGATTGATGAGTGCGACCGGCGCCATCTCACTGCGCTGAGTCTGATGTGTAGTTTTTGGATGCACAGTGCGAGCAGGTAGATCGCATCAGAGCAGCGTGACGCACAGTGAATGAACAAACATCGCGAGCTGGGAACTTTTAAACCTGCAATTTTCATCGTACAGTTGAGCCGTAGCTGCGTGCAACGTTTGGAAACTAGCGAACCAAACCAGCTTACGAAGCCTCCAGTGAGCGCGAGTAGAGGCTCCTGCAGGTCATCAGCTTATTCCAGGTAATCCTGCAGCTCCTCCAGAGCTCCTGCGTTTCTTTTGCCTCCTCTGACAGCAATCTTAAGAGGCCCCTGGCATTGGGCCCCTGATGGTGGGGTGCTTTATGGCTCCAGTGAAGTGCAGATAAGCATTCCCATTCATGCGTTCTGATTCTGTGGTGGTGAGAAACCTTTGACTAGACCCCCAGTGACCTTTAATCCAGCTGTGTTAAAGCGTTTAGTTCTGGGGTCGATCCGTTACTTTCTGTTTCAGAGATCTGGGAAGAAGTTATCCTGAATAAAGTCATGATAACAAACACGCCTCAGTCGGCGAGTCGGCTGCTTCCTTCATTTCAGCTGAGAAGACTTGGAAATAGTTTATTCTTTTCTGGAAGAACCGGCATCCAAATATTTCAGTCAGGAAATTTAATTAGAGTCGATATTTTATGCTCTTCTTTAAATTAGCTTTAATAAAGACATCAGGTTGTAATATTTTCCCCCAACTTTTTATTGTCATTACACTGTCACAAGTACAGAGCAACGAAATTCACGCTCTCCCCTTGTGGAGCAGTGGGCTGCCATTGTGCGGCACCCGGGGAGCAGTGTGGGGTTAAGGGTCTTGCTCAGGGACCCAGAGTGGAGGCTGTGGAGTTGGACTCAAACTCAGAACCTTCCAAGCTCTACGCCCTAAAGACCAGGCCGCCATTCCCCATCACATCCACACGTTTCGAGGATGTAGAAATATATTTGTCTGCAATTTATATCTAAGTCTATATTTTATATTCACACAAAATATTTAACAAACCCATCCTAAATCTAAATTTTATAGTAGATATGCAAATTAGTCATGCCCCTTTAACGTTTTAGTTTTAAGCCACGCCCCCAGGGGCAGAGGAACCAATGAGGAATCAAGGCCTCCTTTAAAGAACTTGGGGAACAGGGAGGCTTCTGTCCTACCGTTGCCATGGTGACTCAGGTTATCTGAAGACAAATGTAGGAATAAAACGTGTTTTTTTTTTGTGTCCAGTTATCCGGTCAGCCTATTGGACGCTCAGATCAGGCCTGTATCGGAATTTTTCCACTCCTACTCAGAGATCATTTGATAAATAATGAAGAATTACCAACAAAATGGCGGACGGCGCCGAGTTTGCTTTTTTTCAGCTGTCAGAGCATTTAATGCAGAGAGAACTCATTTAAAAAGTTGCTAATGCTATTAGTGCTACGAAGTGGCAGATGGTAACACATCTATTGATGGGTGAAGGGTCCACCCCCTTGGATTGGGCCGTTCGTAACCCGACCGTTTCTATTTACATGTTTTCTAAACTAAAACCAGGCTTTGTTGGGCTGCTGGATAAAACCTGGAACTAAACGCTATTTCTGACATTTGGAATTGAAAAATCTTCCTGGATGGAAGAGAAACGTCTTCAGACTGGGAAACAAAGTCCAGTTTTTTGAACGACAATGACCTGGATGACTGAGAATCTTCACCTACTATAACACATGGGCTAGCCAGCTGTTAGCTTGATCATCCCTTTAAAAAAATCGCAGCAAAAAAAAAACCCATCAGTACGATCCTAGTCAGGGACACTCGGGCCATGGTGTCCATTTCATTACTGATGCATTTCCCTGAAGGCTGTAGTCCTAATCATACAGCGTGACCCGTAGGCGTTTCAATCCCATACGGACGTCTGCTATGCTACGTTCACATCTAACGCCCTTTGGGCAGCAGAAGCAACCGTTTTACACGCCAAGGCTACGGTCAACTGTCAAGTTTTAGGAAAAGGCATCTGAGGCGCTTAAGAAGCAGCAGCTGCTGGAGTTGGAAACTTACTGCTGGACGCGCCTCATCAACCAATCAGAGAAGCTGATCTGGGAGCTGGCAGGGAGTCAGACGCAGCACTGCTGATGCAGAGCGCTATGATCACTCCTCTGAAACAGTTTAACGCCTAAATTAACTTCAAATGTAGAAACCTGCCGGCAGAATATGTTGGCTTTTATTATCCTGCTGCCTGCAGTTTGTAGCACAGACCTGAAAAACGCTAACATCTACTTCCAGCCGCCACCAACAGGAGGGGAAAACCCTGGAGAGGCGAGCGGGCCTGAGGCAGCTGCTGCTGGGGATTCCCAGTGACAGCGCAGCGCCGGTATGTGGGGGTCTGAGCGGCTCCCACAGAGAAATAATCTTTGAAGGCAGGATGGTAATCTGGATGAACTGACTGCACAGACCATGTTTTCAGGAGGACTTTCTCACTTCAACATAGATTCTAACTACTTTCTACCCGCTGATCACAGCTAATATAGCAAAGCTGCTCTCTGGCATCGAACACAGGAGCAGCAGAAGCATCTGGACTCACTTTACTGGACGGCTGACCTTAGTGAGGATCAGAGATGAAGCAGCAGGAGCTTCTTTGATGCTCAGAGCGTTCAATGTGAACGTAGGATTAAGGTGAGCGCCGTCTGGGACGGCAGACACTTGGTTTTAACTGTTGAAATCTGTTACTCCCTTGTATTTTTTTATTTATTTTTATTTAGTTTTTCCATACATGTAGACTTGCAGGTTAATCCTTATTTTGATATATTGTTTATTCTTAATGCACCTTTTCCTCGTTTGCACCTCCTTTAATTACTATGCCATTATGTGACCAGTGAATTTCTCAGCTGAGATCAATAAAGCTCATCTAAACTAATCTAAACCAGGCCTCTTTGTTAAAACTGCTTTTAAAGTAATGTTCTGAAACATCTAATATAGAAATAAGTCATTTAGGAAATAAAAACTCATTAGTCAGATCGATAAATGTGCCGCTGACTTTTATTAACAAGAAAAAGATAAAATAGCATCACGTAACAACCTCTGTTCACATTTTAAGGTGAATAAAGGATCCAGTAACAGAACCTGAACATCAGCAGTTTTTGGCTTCATGGGGTCCGAATGATGACAGACCTGGAAAAAAAAAAAATAATCCACCCAGCAACAGCTTCACCAAGTAAATAATCACACAAATCAAGGATCCTTATGTTTTCTGAGTCAACAAAGATGTGATTAAACTTTTAAGAAATACACAAAAAAACTCAAAGAATCTAAGAAGCAATCAAAGTTCATCATCCATGAATTAAAGATAAAATTCTTTACAGAAAAGCTATAAAACATGAGGTTAGACCAAAACTCCAAACTGATCCCAGAAAAAAGGTTTAAAAGCCTTTTAAGGAGAAAAACAATTAGAAAGTCTTTCAGCAGACCTGGAAAAACCGTCCATGACAGGAAAGAAAGTGGATTTACAGCTAATTTAAATTAAAAGACTTTGTAAGAAGCGGCGGCTGAGTCTGGCGTAGAAAACATCCACTAGAGAATAAAAGCAGAAGAAAACGTTCAGCCTGTCATGGCGGCGTCACAGGAAGGGAAACGTTTGGGAACTTGGTTGGAATTTATGAGGAAGTGCTTCGTGGATGTGAGCTAAAACTGCTAAAGGCTACGCGCTAACAGCGCTAACAGCTTCCCGTCAGTTGCACTGGTGGCTAAAAATAAGGCATTTAAAATAATCCTGAGTTAAACAACATTGTCAGTCACACAGGTGACATCAGGCCGCTTGGCGGCGGCGTCTCTTCGGTGAGCGTTTCAAGTCATCAGTTTGTGCCTAAAAGGAGCAAAGTTTAGCAGGAGGGCTCCGCCCCCCAGAGGCGGGGTCAGAAGGCCTTCCCGCGTTTCCTGCTCCACTCAGATGTTTTCCGCCCGTCTCTGGGGGGACGGCCTCCTCTCGGCGTTTCCTCCGTGTGCCGTCTGGCGGCGGCGGATGCTCTGTCCGGAGGAGATGAGGTTGGCGTAGCCGGGCGTGTGGGAGAAGGCGTAGGCGGAGCGACGGGAAGCCCGGCCTCGCTGGAACGCCGGGGGCTGCTTCTTCTTGTCCTCCTCCTCTATCTGCATCTCGTACTTCTTCCGGTTCCTCTGGACCTGCAGCGACAGAAGAAAACATCAAGGAAGTGTCGCAAAATAAACTACAGAATGTGAAATAAATCGGATCGGTGGCGTTCCTCAGAAGATCTGAGGCGGCGGTCTGACCTTGTCTCCAATGGAGGGCCAGATGGTTTTATGGAGGAACTGGATGCAGACGACGGGCAGCAGACTGATCCCCACCGTCAGGACGATGGTCAGCCACAGGTAAGGCTGTCTCAGAGCGTTGGACGCCGCGCCTGCAGGCAAACATTTCCTCACTCATCCATCTTATGGAACATTAAACCCACCTATGGCGGAGGAAGCTACCTGTGAAGGTGAACACCGAGGGGAAGATGACGTGGATTCCGGCGCTGTGGATGTCGAACATGATCCCGAAGTAGATGGCGATGCTGCCCAGCACGGCGAAGAAGGTCACGAAGGTCCAATAGGACGTGTCCAGAGAGATCTGGAGGGAGGAGGAGGAACTCATCAGAACCTGAGCTGGACCAATGTTTGTAATCAGGATTATTTCTGCATCAAATGTGGCATTTTACATAAACCTGCAGACCACTCGGTGGCTTTGATGAAGGTTTGTTTATGATGATGAAGATCATTGCTCAGCTCTGGACACTCTAAAGGAGAGAACATCCACCCACTCAGAGCAGAACCGAGTCGAATCGTCTCACCTGCAGGTTTACGGTGAAGATCAGAGACGATGCGGTGACAACGGCGAAGGACTGGTAGTCGGAGGGCGCCTCCCCATCCTGACCCATGGTCTGCAGGAAGGCTCCGTACGGGATGAAGAAGATGATGAGGGAGACGAAGATGCCGTGGAAAAGGCTGATGAAGAACTTCTTGAAGTTGAAGAGCTCTCCAAGCTGACCGGGGATGTAGAGGCGGGGAACTTTCAGGCTGAGTCTGTCGTTCACATCCTGCAGGTCAGAAAAAAACAATCAATAAGCAGCCTGCAGGGATTCTACTGCTGTAATCGTCGTTATGGAGACGCTGCATGTAGGTCAGCCTGATGGCCGACCTGAACAGCAGCTCTAACCAGTGAACCTCTAGAACCAGAGGCCCGTTTTCAGACATACTGGTCAAAAACCAGGTTAATGTTTGGTCTGTTCTGGACCAAAGGTTCCCAAACTAGTGACCCACAGAACAGAACCAGAAAGGTCTGACCCCACCCCCCCCCGGCTCTGACCCCACCCCCCCCCCCCGGCTCTGACCCCATCAGCACTTCCCCTTATCCAGACAAAGGGTTCCTTCATCTCTAGAACCAGTCCTGCAGCTTTTCCTGTATCTGCCGCAGAGGAGGATTGGGTCGCTTAGAGTTTTTACCTGATCCAGGAGTCCGACGAGGAGAACCGGTAAGCTGCTGTACGCCAGATTGTAGAGCGTGATGAACCAGTCCTCATACGCCACCTGCAGGGAAGGAGGGAAGCAGCAGGTCTCAACGCTGGACGTTTTCTTTCCACACAGTCAAACTTTTTTAGGTTCCACTCTGGGAACCGCTCAGCGCTGAAGGACCAACTTTCTACATGCATGAGCAGAAACCACGAGCAGAGCTCTGCTGGCTAGACTTCAGGTATCAGCAGCGTCTCTATGAGGAAATCAGCTCCTTCCCTTTCATCTTGATCAAACATCGAGAGAAACACGACCTTTGACCTTAGAGATCATTGTATGGGACGACTGCTGACCTGAGAGGAATATCCGCTGAAGAAGGAGTACCAGAAATGGACCAGAGTGAAGGCAAAGTTCTTGAAGAAGAAGAAACGCAGAAACTTGCACATCCGGATGTAGGACCAGCGGCCGTGCACCAGCAGGAGGCGCTGCAGGTAACGGAACTGGGCGAAGGCGTAGTCGCTGGACATGACAGCCTGCATCCCCTCCTGACCGCTGATGCCCACGCCGATGTCCGCAGCTGAAGAGACAACAGACGATGAGGCGGGACGTTCGGGCGCCGAGGGAAACGCCAGACCGCCGCTTTCTTACTTTTGATCATGTTGACGTCATTGGCTCCGTCTCCGATGGATAGCGTCACGGCCTTCTTGTACTTCTTCACCAGACTCACCACGTTGGCCTTTTGTTTGGGCGTGACGCGGCAGCAGATCACGGCTTCACACTCGCAGGCCATGTCCACGAAGTCCAACTGCAGATTAAAAAAGGTCAGTGAGGAGGAGCGGCGGCGGCAGAGGGCGCCACAGATGCCGGGCTTACCTGTCTCATTTCCTTCTCCGTGTCGTTCATTGGATCCTGAGGGTTGCTGGGACTTTGTCTCTTTCCTAACCGGCGAAGACGAAGACGGCGGCGTTTCTTCTTTTTCTCATAAAGAATCTCGTTCTAAAAAGAACAAAAAACAAAAATGTAAATTAATTAAGAGGACGGCTTCATCAGGTTCTCCTACCACTAACGAACTGGGCCGACCCAGGGAACCACTAACAGGGCCCCCCAAGCAGAATGCTGTGATCTGGTTAGCGACCCTCTGCTCTTTAGCACCCCCTTGTGGCTACATGGAGCTTTTTCATAAATGTACGAAAAAAGAAAAAGGATTTTTTTGGTTGTTTTAAATGGTGTGCATGTCAAAATCTATCTTTCCAAAGCTTTAAAAAGTGTTTAAACGGTAAATGTGAACATTTTCATATCCTGCAGCAGGTTTCAGCGCGGCGCGATGCAGCGCAGCGCCGGGCAGGTGGCTGATGTAAACAAAGCGGCGGGTGCGTCTCAGGCCGTGGAGGCCAAAGGGAAAAAAGGAAGATATTTGATGAGAACAGAGAATCGGAGAAGGATGGAGCGAATCGTTTTCTTTCATTACCAACGAGGAAGGATTTCCTGCATGTTTGCTTTGGAAGGAGAAGTTATCAAGTAATAAAAAGAGTCATTAGGAAGGCTTTTCCAGGGAAGGCTAAATAAATAAATTAGAGGAGCGTAAAGATAGATTTAAGAAGTAGATTGCATCTCCAAACTCCACTACTGCTGCTAGTTTGGTTGCAACAATAGAAAACCGTTCATAGATCCAACAGGTAGCGCTCTGATGCAGGGATGGGAACTTTTAGGTTAGCGCTAAAAGAGCAAACCAAATGATCTAACCAGCCATCCTCCGGTGATGATCAGGGCGTTTTTTCCAGATCCAGGGAAGAACGGCTCCGAGGTCGTCTTCTTTCCGGGTCGAAATGATGATGGAGGTTCGTTTCTTCTTGTGTCCTGACGGATCCTCAGCTTTTCACTGCAGACAGACAGACAGAGACGGTTTCCTGGACGTTTCTTCCCAGCGGAGAATCTCAAGGGTTTGAATCAACTCACTTCACATCTTCTCCGTAGTGGATCTGCATGTCATCGGTCAGCAGGTGGCAGGAGAAGCCGATGTTCTCTGCCGTCTCTGAGGGGAAGAGCAGAACGTTGATGATGGTTTCAGTCTCAGAGAAGCTCCGCCTCTGCAGCCCACGGAGGACTAACCTTTCTTATCGCCGGTCAGGACCCAGATCTTGATGTCAGCTTTGGCCAGGTTGGCGATGGTCTCTGGAACGCCATCCTGAAGTTTGTCCTCTATGGCGGTGGCTCCAATCAGCTGAAGATGAAGAATTGGAATTCAGCCTAAAGAACTTTGAACCAAACATGTTTTTAAAAGCAGAAGTCTCTCTGCCCACCATCAGGTCCTTCTCGATCTCCTCAGAAACACGGTCCAGGGCAGCTTCTCTGTCCACCATGTTGACCTGGGCCTCCTTGTGTCTCCGGGACCAGGCCTCGAACTCGCTGACACTGATGTCTTTGTAACAGAGACAGAGTGTCCTCAGCGTGTCATTGGCAAAGACCTGCAGGACAGAAAGAGAAACGCTTCAGTTTCCCTCCATCAGGCCGCTTGACGGCTGACGGGATGTGAGCTCACATTCAGGGCCTCCTGGGTCGACTCCTTGTGTCTGGTGTCTGGGGAGAGTCGCTCGTAGATCACCGTATCGGCTCCCTTACAGTAGAGGCGAATGCGACCGTCTGGGAACTTCACTGGAAACAAAGAGAGAAATGGACGAAAATCACAAAAAGAGGAAAAGTGAAGCTTTCGGCTTAAAGACAACATCTCGACTCTGCCAGAGGCAAACATCTCGACTCTGCCAGAGGCAAACATCTCGACTCTGCCAGAGGCAAACATCTCGACTCTGCCAGAGGCAAACATCTCGACTCTGCCAGAGGCAAACATCTCGACTCTGCCAGAGGCAAACATCTCGACTCTGCCTGAGGCAAACATCTCGACTCTGCCTGAGGCAAACATCTCGACTCTGCCTGAGGCAAACATCTCGACTCTGCCTGAGGCAAACATCTCGACTCTGCCTGAGGCAAACATCTCGACTCTGCCTATCTCGACTCTGCCTGAGGCAAACATCTCGACTCTGCCTGAGGCAAACATCTCGACTCTGCCTGAGGCAAACATCTCGACTCTGCCTGAGGCAAACATCTCGACTCTGCCTGAGGCAAACATCTCGACTCTGCCTGAGGCAACAGCTGGCCTGCTTTAAGCTAGGCTTAGCAGCGTTTCTCCTTACGGATGATGGACATGCGCTTGCGGTCCGAGTTGAAGTCCAGCAGCGCCAGCATCTCGTAGGTCGTCTCGTGCCCCATTTCCGAGATGGTGATGGTGTCTTGGGTACGAGAGAGAAAAACGAAGCCGAAGTTCCTGGCGGCAGTGACGAGAGCGCCCTCATCAGGTGACGCAGCCTGGTACACCAGGTCACCTGAAGACAGAAGATAGAAGTTAAGTCCGTTTGGTCTGGTCTGTCTCCTCGCATCTTCTCCATCCTCTTACCGTCGTTGTTGTCCACCATGACGGTGTGGCAGAGTGACAGAAGCTTGAAGAACTCCAGAGCGTCTTTATCCTTCTTGGACTTGATCTTGGCGACCAGGAAGTGGTCCACAAACTCAAACTTCCTGTCAGCATAGTTGTTCCAGCCCCAGTCCACCGGCTAACAGGAAGGTTTCAGACAGAAGATCCAAAAGTTTTAGTGCTTTCATGACCAAATTGTTTCAGGACCTGGACTTTCTGACACAAGACGGCGTCTCCTTCTGTTCTCCCATTTTCTGTTCCCATGTAGGAAGGAAAAAAGGCAAAGAGGACTCGTACCTTTATCTTGTCCAGCGATACTCCTTCAGCAGTGGTTGGGTCACCTGTAGGGAGAAGAGCAACAAGCTGGAATAAACCGGAGTAGCCGACCAGAACCATGGTTCTGATCCGTTCTAGTATCAACTGTAGACCATGATGGATGGACGGACGGACAGCGGATTCCGATCACGGCTCAGTCACTGGGACATGTCCCTGAACAGATGCTGACTCTTCTAATGGAAGGAACCAGCGGCGCCAAGCAGCCGTTAGAGAAACAAACTATTAGATGAGCTGCTGTCCGAATGTGATGAGGAAGTCATCGGGCGGTCAGCAGCGAGCTGATTGGTGCTGTTGTGAGTTCGAAACCCACTCCCACAGACTGCCACTCTGAGCGAGACCCTTAAGCCTACACTGCCTCGTTGCTCTGTACTCGTGAGATTGGAACAAAGAAGCTGGAGATTTGTGTTTTATCCTGATAACCGAGGAAGAGAAGCAGCATCAAATGAATCACCATAAAAATAAACCCTGGATCAGTGACCGCGACCAAGGCGAGTCTGCCTCACATGACGTCATACACGCCGCTTTGTTTTTAAATATATAAAAAATCTAACGGCGGATGTCTGAGGGACAGTGATTGGCCTCCATGTTCTGAATGCTGGCGTACCATAAAGAATAAATGATGAACAGTTTAGTTTGTGCCTTCAAGTCGTTGCCCATAGGAAGACGTTACTGGATATAACCTAACGGAATATCTTCAGAACGGCTCCAAATGACACTAAACTCATATGGGAGAGTAGAACATGATGGAATAACGGAGAATAAAGGCGCCAATGGCCAAGGTTTCACTCGCAGATCAGTCTGGAGACTCTCCGTTGAAGAAAATTTGGAGCCGTTCACCAAACGAACGTCCAATCAGCGTTGGCTTTGAGGCGGGTTGAGGTGTGACGCAACGAGAAGCGCGACAGTTCAGTCTAAAGAACATGGCGGCTTCAGCCGATGAAACTAGCGTTAGCGTGGCTATCGAGCAAGTTTTATCGGAATTACAGAGTATTTCTTCACTGAAAGAAGAGCAAAACACTGCTCTGGAGGCTTTATCAGAGGAAAAGATGTTTTTGCTCTTCTCCCGACTGGTTTCAGCAAGAGTTTGATCTATCAATTGGCTCCTCTTCGTCGTCGCTCTGTTAGTACGTCATATGCTTCGTTGATCTGATTGGTTTATTTGGCCCGTCTATCACCAACATAGGCCAATCAGCTAACCAGTATTTTCACCCCTTCCCAAAATTACTTCAACGGAAGGTTTCCAGATGGAAATGCGGAAAAGTGTTGGACGGATGAATCATTAGTTGCAGCACTACTCATTTAATTTAAAACCGTTCGATTTGGAAACGGATCCATTTGTTTTTTTTTTCCACTCTTCCATGGAGACGAAGGGAGAAGCTGGGATTTTACCGTAATTCCGCCCTGAGATGGTGCACTTCTTGAAAACCATGATGTTTTGCGTCAGAGTTCCCGTCTTGTCAGAGAAGATGTACTGGATCTGGCCGAGCTGCTCGTTCAGGGTCGTCGTTCGGGCCTGAAATGAACGGGGGGGGGGGGGGGGGTAAATGATTCCAGTTTCTACTGAATCCCCCCCAGAGGCCGGCAGCGTACCTTAGCTGGTGTGTCTTTCTCTGAATAATACATCTGCAGGTCCCAGTTGATGAATTTACTCTGGCCCAGACGGATCACCTCCACGCTGCACACAGAACCAGACCTGCTGTTAACCGGGCCGCCGGCCAATCAGAGAGCTCCGCTACAGAGACGCCTCTATATACAGTAAATCTGCAAACTTTCTGATCTCAATCAGAGAAAACAAACTAACCAGAACCTGAACCAGATCTGAATGTTCCCTTAATGAGGGCCGATAACTGAATGGAGGTCGGGACGCCTCACTGACCTGACGTAGAGGGAAATGGGCACCATGGTGTTGAGGACGATGATGTAACCCCAGAAGCTGAGGAAGCCCCTGTAATCGGCACTGCGGTCTGTACCGTCGTTCAGGTACCAGGCCTTGGCGCCGATCTCCCGGTACCAGAAGGTGTGACCGATGGCCAGGCCGGCCGCCACCAGGATGAGCAGAGCGAAGATCTGCAGAGAGAAGGGACACAGTGACACTCTGCTACCTGCAGGGGGCGCCACAGGTTGGGTCAGGAAAGTCTCCTGCTCACCGTGTAAACCATGTAGTTCATCAGCTCGTCGATCTTGGTCCTCTTGAACCTGGTTTTTCCACTGTTCTTCATGATTTTGGTGTCGGCTCCTGTGACATCAAAGGCATTAATTACCAACTCGGTTCAGGAGAAACGTCTTCATCTTTCAGCAGCACAATGTTATTTATGTTAGAGAGAAACTTTATCTGAAACATGAATAAAAACCTAAATCTAAACAGGAACATCTTCCCAGTGACCGTCCCACAGACCTGCGAAGATCACCAGGCCGTGGCAGTAGTCGGTGTTCCTGATCTTGCAGCCTCGCAGCAGCATGTTGTCCACCTCCAGAGGGTAGCGCTCGCCGTCCCACAGCATGGTCCCGTTGAACTTGTCCAGGCGGTTGTTTGGTTCCTCACATTCAATCAGAGCTGCGACCAGGAGGAGGAACAAGAAGGCGACACGTGAACTGGGAGGAAATGTTTCTGTTCATACAGCGTCTAACGCCGACGTCTTCATCCAGTCTAGTTTCTTCCATCAGTTTCCAAATGTTGGAAAAATGTCTAAATTTATAATGTTAAACATTCGATCTCTTAAAGAAGCTGAGAAACTTATAATTCCTCCAAAGTTTCCAGTGGAGCAAAGCTGGACTTTCTCTGAACAGTTTAGGTTTTATAGTTTGTCCAATAAACCACGTAACTAAAGACGTCACGTTAAATATTCAGGAACTTCGTCCTTTAAAGGACGTTTTCTACGTCGCAGCTCGGTCGTTTGTCCCTCTCTTCTTGTCCCTTTTCTTCTTGTTTTCCTCTCTATGTTTTGTACTCAGCTGACTTTTCATGCCGTCTCTAAAGGAATGAAAGATTTTTCCAAGCACTAAGCTCACTTAGCTGATTGCTCCTTCCTGTGTTTCCAAAAAGGCCAAAGTAAATAACCCAGTCCTTCTTTTCACTGTAGACAAGCCATGATCTGCTTATCTGTTCTCCATTTTTCATTTGGATGAAATAATAGCTGCATGAATCATGACAGCAGACAAGATAGAGGAGAGCAGGAGGCGGGGTTACCAATCTACTCGCTCTGGAGAGCAGAGTTCGCTGCTTTTAGATGTTGTCTCCAAAGTCTCCAGTAGCAGAAAAAAGTCTCTAGATTTGGCGCTAGGAGCTTTTTAGAAATCAAAGTGCTAGAGGGGTCTGAAAAGTGGCTAAATATAGCGACTAAAGCGCTAAGTTGGCAACACTGCTCTTTGCATGGTTTGTTTTCAAATGGTTTGCTGCTGTCTGTTTGGACCTTTCTGAACATGTGCAGCAAATGGACTGATCCAATATGGTGGACACTGAAGGGGGGGGGGGGGGCTGAGACACACTTAATATTATCAGCGTTCTGATGGCATTTTAGAGAAAGGATTTTCATCAAAAACATAATTAATGTGCAGAAATAAGGAATAGTTGTATTAACCATACATTTAAAAGGAGTTTTATGGGGCCCCCAGGAACTTGGGGCCCTAGGAACTGCCTAGTATTGCTGAATGGTGAATCCCCCCCCTGTGGTGGGTAGGTGGGTCCTTCCTACCGTCAAACTGGGCCAGCTCTCGCTCCTCCTGCAGCCTCTCGTCCGTCGCTCGGAGGCCCATCCTGAACTTCAGGTTAGTCTCTCTGCACCAGACATCAGCGTCCAACGAAGCGCAGAGGAAATCCGACCCAGACAGAAAAGAAACGTTAAAACTTCAGACCAGCGATTTAAACCTAAGACACAGTTTTATTTGCATAGCTGTCCCTCTGGGATCAGGGTAATTCCTGGTATCTGCAGTAAACCTCCCCGCCAGGATCAGAGAGGACGTCTAAACTAAACACTGAGGGCCATAAAGCAAACAGCAGATATCAGGAGGCGTTTACCCGTCAAGCTCGGCCGTCTCAACGTAACACAGGCTGTTTGGGTTGGAGCTGGACAACAGCAGGATGTCAGCCTGAGGAAACAGGAAACGCCATCAAGTCAACGTTTTTCTTGCTTTTCCATCTCGTTAGACGGATTATTGGTCGTTTGACTAAAACCGTCCAGAAGGATAAAGGCTGGAGGTTTAGAGGAAACCAGTGTTAAATAAAATATGATTTTCTATTTCAGAGGGTAACTTCTATCATCTCATTTCTAGGTCAGTTTGTCTACAACCATCATGAAACAGACAGAAAATGAAGGACTAAGTTGCTAAAGTGTGGAAAGTTTTCGGATTGATTGGGTCGTACCGGAATAAAGTCGTTCTTCTTGAGGCGAACCACGTCGCCCACCTGGATGTCCATCCACTTCTTCTCCTTAAACCTGAAGCAAACAGTTTAGCAGCGTTAGCAGCAGCGCTAGCTAGCTGACGGACATCTACAGACGCAGAGCTTGGTTCTGACCTTCCATCCAGTAGAACCTCAGACTTTCTGTTATTCACCTCCTTGTCCATCCTGTGTCGGGCCTGGAGCAGAAGAAAGAAACTGACCATCTAGCTGAGATTCCTGCTAATTCTTTCCCTTGCAGCCAAAATGGCGTCCTACCAGATCGTCCACCAGGTCTTTGATGGCGGTGATTCCCAGCACGATGACCAGCGGAATCAGGGTGGTGTACCAGGGAAGGGTGGAAATTTCTGGAATGATCTGAGAACGATGGAGAGCAGCCAGGGTTACCATGGTAACCAGGGTCCGACTCAACAGAGCAGCTTCCTGTTGGTTGAACGTACCTGAAGGATCAGCAGAGCCAGGAAGTAGATGTTGGCCACCCTCTTAAACTGCTCGTAGAGGTTCAGGGGGAGGAAGGTTAAGAAGTTGTACTTGTAGGTTTTGATTGCGTTTCCCTGCAGGAGCAACGAAGGAGCGTTAGACCAACGTCCTCCAGTGGAGGAGGATAGACGCACCTCCTCCTACAGCCAGGCTGCTTCAGTACAAACATCTGACGGGTCGGAGTTAGCATTGCAACCGGCGTCCTTAAGGTTAGCATAGCAATCGGCGTCTTTAAGGCATACTATGCAACATTTTTCAGTTAATTAATGTGTTCCATAACGTTTTGGATGATTAAATGAGTCATTTCAGGTTGAACAAAGGTTTTCTCGGCCGCCCTGGTGGTCTGTGGGGGAAATACCGCACTTGCAATTGCAGGAGCACCGACCCGCACCCACAGGCTCAGAAGTCTCGCGAGAGTCGGTCTTGCTTTTCGGCGAGAACTGCTACAGCATGCTCATTGCTTAGCCTGGGTGCCAGTCCGAACTTAGTCCCGCCCACAAGGTTTGAGGTCGGGAAGTTCGGTCTGGCTCTGCTCCATAGTAGCGCGAGTATTATCGCCCACTGTCAGGCGATCCAATCAAATTGTCAGGGCGGGCTTTATACGATGATGGACAGATGATCAAGAATAACGTAATCAACCACGTGACCAATGCGCACTTGGGTGACAACAATAATGGCTGCCGCTGGAGAGTTTGGGTGAGTAGATTCTGCTATTAGGTCTGTTCTAGAAGATATCGACAGCAAATTTTTCGCTGGAAAATCAACACCGGTTGCATAGTACACCTTTAAAGTTTAGCGTACGTCCTTAAGGTTAGCATAGCAATCGGCGTCCTAAAGGTTAGGACTCATCATCCTGAACCATTGAGCGGTCATCAGGGAAGGAAGATCTCCAATAACCCTGATCCACGGTTCTGGTTATGATCTTATAACAGCCAAACAGCCTGGATCCACAAATAAATGAAATGCTTCTCATCTAAAACCTCCAATAAAAATCTCTCTGACATCCATGGCTCTACGCGTCCTGATCTGATTCATAGAGCAACAGTCTCCATCTATCGCTCAGTAGGCCTTCTGAGCCGAGCCGTGGTTGGCCATTCCATCACCTGATCGGTCCGAGTCCAACCAATGGATTCAGCCTCCCTGCTGCCGGAGCCTAAGCCACCATCCTCCAACTGGACCGGACCAAACCTGGAGCCGAAACCGCTTCAACAACTTTCTTCATTAAGTGACTTTAAAATGATTTAAATATCATCTGAATTTGGCTGAACCTCAATCTCATGGTTCGACTTTTGTTCCGCCGCTCCGTTCTAGTTGGAACAAAAACTTCTAAATCGGTCTCTTCCTGTGAAGTAAATCAAACTATTTTGTGTTGAATATCAATAATCTGAGCCTGATTGTTAGAAATCAGTGGATTTCAGGCCCTTTAATAAAAGCAGAGTCCACCTGAAGCGGAGCCGTCTGGTCCAAGTCTTAAGCCTCCTGCAGAGTCTAATGTGTCAGTCCGGGACCTAAAGGTCGACCCAACCGGACGGTCGGGTTTCAACCTCTCCAAAGCCCGTCTGCACTCGGCCCACGCGCTGCAACCCTGCCGTGTTCAGCGGCGGCTGACCCAGAATGCCTTGTTTGCTAATGAAGTGATGTCAGAGGTGCTGATAAAGGAGGCGGATGCTGCAGAGTTCTGCTGGTTCAGGGCAAATATGGCCGACTTACAGAGTATCTGCTCTTCTTTATGCAGAGGAAGACCTTCTTCTGAAACTCTGGCAGCTGGTGGTACGCTCTGTCGTTTGCCTTCACTTTCCAGACGATTTCTGACAGACAGACAGACAGACGGTTACAAAAACATCCAGGAAGCTTTTGTTTCGTAGCAACGGCCTGACGCTGAACCCACCGGGGGGTCTGGGCTCCTCAGGGGGACGCGGGGCATCCCTTGGCTCCTCTGCCTCGCTTTCATCAGAGGTCTCGTCCAGTTCGTCGTCCGTCTCGTCGTCGCTGTACGGCATCACCTCGTCGTTGGGCCCCGGGGAGCCATGCCAGTCGGCGCGGCGCTGACTCATCTCGCCACCTCAGGAGTTTGCTGAAAGAAAAGAAAGATTGATAGATTGAGGAAACCTTCCAGGAGGAGGTCAGGTCTGTGGAGATCCTGCATGGATCAACTGATGGCAGAAAAATCTCTGATCGGTGAAAGAATGGAAAGAATTTAAGAGACTGAAGGAAAAGGAGCAGAACTGATCATCTCACAGCTTTTCCATCGTTAATGGATGAAAACTGGCCGATTATTTAACCTCTGATCAGGACTCTGCTTTCTATCCAGTAAAAATAAACTCCGACCAGGGATGGAGGCCACGCCCCCAACACACACGCAGGCCGTCACTGGGAGACCATCGTCAGCATCCATCTTCCTGAGGCCACATCTGAGGGCCCAACAGTGGCTCGACAGCACAGGGGCCCGACAGCACAGGGGCCCCGACAGCACAGGGGCCCCGACAGCACAGGGGCCCCGACAGCACAGGGGCCCTGCGATCTCCACCTCCTGGTCTGATCCAGGTTCATCTGAGCAGCCAATATTTTTGGCCTTTCTGGTATCAACCAATAGCCGATTCATCAGTGCGGTGCAGGGAGCGCCCCCTACAGGAGACCGTGGAAATACGGGGGGGAGGGGCCGAACTTAAGAACCCATGAAAATATTGCTCACATTTGATTAGCTTCACATTCAAATAAAAACTGTTCAGCTTAAACAAACCAAAACTTAAAAGTTGATGTTTTGTGATTTAAAGTAGATTTTAGTGATGATGTTTATTTTCTACACCAACCGGTTAAAAACATGGATGATATTTTGTCACTAAATGTTTCATTTATTTTTTTTCGACTCGTTATTCCATAAATGAAGACCTGCATCGGACCAGAACCTGACGGCGCCTCTGGTCCACCAGAACCAGAACCCCACATGGATCCCGCCTCTGGTCCACCAGAACCCCACATGGATCCCGCCTCTGGTCCACCAGAACCCCACATGGATCCCGCCTCTGGTCCACCAGAACCAGAACCCCACATGGATCCCGCCTCTGGTCCACCAGAACCAGAACCCCACATGGATCCCGCCTCTGGTCCACCAGAACCAGAACCCCACATGGATCCCGCCTCTGGTCCACCAGAACCCCACATGGATCCCGCCTCTGGTCCACCAGAACCCCACATGGATCCCGCCTCTGGTCCACCAGAACCAGAACCCCACATGGATCCCGCCTCTGGTCCACCAGAACCAGAACCCCACATGGATCCCTCCTCTGGTCCACCAGAACCAGAACCCCACATGGATCCCGCCTCTGGTCCACCAGAACCCCACATGGATCCCGCCTCTGGTCCACCAGAACCCCACATGGATCCCGCCTCTGGTCCACCAGAACCCCACATGGATCCCTCCTCTGGTCCACCAGAACCAGAACCCCACATGGATCCCGCCTCTGGTCCACCAGAACCCCACATGGATCCCGCCTCTGGTCCACCAGAACCCCACATGGATCCCGCCTCTGGTCCACCAGAACCAGAACCCCACATGGATCCCGCCTCTGGTCCACCAGAACCAGAACCCCACATGGATCCCGCCTCTGGTCCACCAGAACCAGAACCCCACATGGATCCCGCCTCTGGTCCACCAGAACCAGAACCCCACATGGATCCCGCCTCTGGTCCACCAGAACCCCACATGGATCCCTCCTCTGGTCCACCAGAACCCCACATGGATCCCGCCTCTGGTCCACCAGAACCCCACATGGATCCCGCCTCTGGTCCACCAGAACCCCACATGGATCCCGCCTCTGGTCCACCAGACCAGGATCCCGACCAGAACCCCACATGGATCCCGCCTCTGGTCCACCAGAACCAGAACCCCACATGGATCCCTCCTCTGGTCCACCAGAACCAGAACCCCACATGGATCCCGCCTCTGGTCCACCAGAACCCCACATGGATCCCGCCTCTGGTCCACCAGAACCCCACATGGATCCCTCCTCTGGTCCACCAGAACCAGAACCCCACATGGATCCCGCCTCTGGTCCACCAGAACCAGAACCCCACATGGATCCCGCCTCTGGTCCACCAGAACCCCACATGGATCCCGCCTCTGGTCCACCAGAACCAGAACCCCACATGGATCCCGCCTCTGGTCCACCAGAACCAGAACCCCACATGGATCCCGCCTCTGGTCCACCAGAACCAGAACCCCACATGGATCCCGCCTCTGGTCCACCAGAACCAGAACCCCACATGGATCCCGCCTCTGGTCCACCAGAACCCCACATGGATCCCTCCTCTGGTCCACCAGAACCAGAACCCCACATGGATCCCGCCTCTGGTCCACCAGAACCACAACCCCACATGGATCCCGCCTCTGGTCCACCAGAACCAGAACCCCACATGGATCCCGCCTCTGGTCCACCAGAACCAGAACCCCACATGGATCCCGCCTCTGGTCCACCAGAACCAGAACCCCACATGGATCCCGCCTCTGGTCCACCAGAACCCCACATGGATCCCGCCTCTGGTCCACCAGAACCCCACATGGATCCCGCCTCTGGTCCACCAGAACCCCACATGGATCCCGCCTCTGGTCCACCAGAACCCCACATGGATCCCGCCTCTGGTCCACCAGAACCCCACATGGATCCCGCCTCTGGTCCACCAGACCAGAACCCCACATGGATCCCGCCTCTGGTCCAGACCAGAACCCCACATGGATCCCGCCTCTGGTCCACCAGAACCCCACATGGATCCCGCCTCTGGTCCACCAACCCCACATGGATCCCGCCTCTGGTCCACCAGAACCAGAACCCCACATGGATCCCGCCTCTGGTCCACCAGAACCCCACATGGATCCCGCCTCTGGTCCACCAGAACCCCACATGGATCCCGCCTCTGGTCCACCAGAACCCCACATGGATCCCGCCTCTGGTCCACCAGAACCAGAACCCCACATGGATCCCGCCTCTGGTCCACCAGAACCAGAACCCCACATGGATCCCGCCTCTGGTCCACCAGAACCAGAACCCCACATGGATCCCGCCTCTGGTCCACCAGAACCCCACATGGATCCCTCCTCTGGTCCACCAGAACCAGAACCCCACATGGATCCCGCCTCTGGTCCACCAGAACCAGAACCCCACATGGATCCCGCCTCTGGTCCACCAGAACCAGAACCCCACATGGATCCCGCCTCTGGTCCACCAGAACCAGAACCCCACATGGATCCCTCCTCTGGTCCACCAGAACCAGAACCCCACATGGATCCCGCCTCTGGTCCACCAGAACCAGAACCCCACATGGATCCCGCCAACCAGAACCCCACATGGATCCCGCCTCTGGTCCACCAGAACCAGAACCCTACATGGATCCCCTTCTCCAGGCTTCCAGAACCGACGCTCCATCCGGCTGGTTTGTTCCATGATCCTGGAAAACCTACCAAGTGCTTCCAGAACCGGGCCGCCCCCGTCCATCACCAGGAGAGCCTCTCCTATCCAGCACCAACCCATCGCCTCCATGTACCTGACTGTAACCATGGTTACCTGGACACCGATGGTAGAAGAAGCGGGTCAGAGATGAGGAGGGTTCTGGAAGATGAGCAGATCTGCTGACATCTCCAACCATCCGGTCTGTTCCTGTTTTTCTGAGATGATCTAAATTTACCATCAGAGCTTTTCTCCGTCAGCACAGGAATGCAGATCTCACCAAACTGGTCTGATTACGGCTCAGCTCCACCTCAACCAGCTCAGAACCTCCACCTCTTCATGAACACTTCTAACAAGCCTAAGCTTGACCTGTGACCCCATCAGAACCAGAACCACAGGTCAGCTTCACCCTGACGTCTCCAGGTGACGCAGCAGAACCACGACGTCGGTCTGTAGGTAAACAAGGAGCGGCTGGGAGGAGGCCACGCCCCCTGAGACGAGAGCCAATGGAGGAACAGCTGCCTGGATTCCTCCATACCAGAGCAGAACCCTGGTGGTTTGAACGGGTTCCTTTCCGGGTCCAAACATCTGAGACACGCCCAGCGTTCCTCCCACAGCCTGCTGAGCTCCTCAGACGTTTCACAACCTTCTGGGCTCGTCTGAACACGCCTGACATAGAGTTCTGGTCTCTATGCCGCCGCAGAACGTTCCAAACCAGAACTCAGGTTTTCCTCCTCCTCTTAAACCCAGACTAGGAAAGCCGTCATGGCGGAATGTTGGGAATGTCTGACTGGAAACATTTCCTGCTGAAATACTCCAGCCCGACTGGTTCATCTATAAAATCCTGAACAGAGAAGATCAGAGCAGAACCTTCCAACCAAAATGGCCGCTCTGCTCTGAAACCATTCTGGAAATCTCTGCTGAGGCGTCCATCCCCGTTTCAAGGACGATAATCTAGAAGCTGCTGCCTGCGTCCTCACTAGAACTATAGAAAGTAGATCAGGCAGCTGATCCAGACGCTGCTGCCTGCGTCCTCACTAGAACTATAGAAAGTAGATCAGACAGCTGATCCAGACGCTGCTGCCTGCATCCTCACTAGAACTATAGAAAGTAGATCAGACAGCTGATCCAGACGCTGCTGCCTGCGTCCTCACTAGAACTATAGAAAGTAGATCAGACAGCTGATCCAGATGCTGCTGCCTGCGTCCTCACTAGAACTATAGAAAGTAGATCAGACAGCTGATCCAGATGCTGCTGCCTGCATCCTCACTAGAACTATAGAAAGTAGATCAGACAGCTGATCCAGACGCTGCTGCCTGTGTCCTCACTAGAACTATAGAAAGTAGATCAGACAGCTGATCCAGATGCTGCTGCCTGCGTCCTCACTAGAACTATAGAAAGTAGATCAGACAGCTGATCCAGATGCTGCTGCCTGTGTCCTCACTAGAACTATAGAAAGTAGATCAGACAGCTGATCCAGACGCTGCTGCCTGCGTCCTCACTAGAACTATAGAAAGTAGATCAGACAGCTGATCCAGACGCTGCTGCCTGCGTCCTCACTAGAACTATAGAAAGTAGATCAGACAGCTGATCCAGACGCTGCTGCCTGCGTCCTCACTAGAACTATAGAAAGTAGATCAGACAGCTGATCCAGACGCTGCTGCCTGCGTCCTCACTAGAACTATAGAAAGTAGATCAGACAGCTGATCCAGACGCTGCTGCCTGCGTCCTCACTAGAACTATAGAAAGTAGATCAGACAGCTGATCCAGACGCTGCTGCCTGCGTCCTCACTAGAACTATAGAAAGTAGATCAGACAGCTGATCCAGACGCTGCTGCCTGCGTCCTCACTAGAACTATAGAAAGTAGATCAGACAGCTGATCCAGACGCTGCTGCCTGCGTCCTCACTAGAACTATAGAAAGTAGATCAGACAGCTGATCCAGACGCTGCTGCCTGCGTCCTCACTAGAACTATAGAAAGTAGATCAGACAGCTGATCCAGACGCTGCTGCCTGCGTCCTCACTAGAACTATAGAAAGTAGATCAGACAGCTGATCCAGATGCTGCTGCCTGCGTCCTCACTAGAACTATAGAAAGTAGATCAGACAGCTGATCCAGACGCTGCTGCCTGCGTCCTCACTAGAACTATAGAAAGTAGATCAGACAGCTGATCCAGACGCTGCTGCCTGCGTCCTCACTAGAACTATAGAAAGTAGATCAGACAGCTGATCCAGACGCTGCTGCCTGCGTCCTCACTAGAACTATAGAAAGTAGATCAGACAGCTGATCCAGACGCTGCTGCCTGCGTCCTCACTAGAACTATAGAAAGTAGATCAGACAGCTGATCCAGACGCTGCTGCCTGCGTCCTCACTAGAACTATAGAAAGTAGATCAGACAGCTGATCCAGACGCTGCTGCCTGCGTCCTCACTAGAACTATAGAAAGTAGATCAGACAGCTGATCCAGACGCTGCTGCCTGCGTCCTCACTAGAACTATAGAAAGTAGATCAGACAGCTGATCCAGATGCTGCTGCCTGCGTCCTCACTAGAACTATAGAAAGTAGATCAGACAGCTGATCCAGACGCTGCTGCCTGCGTCCTCACTAGAACTATAGAAAGTAGATCAGACAGCTGATCCAGACGCTGCTGCCTGCGTCCTCACTAGAACTATAGAAAGTAGATCAGACAGCTGATCCAGACGCTGCTGCCTGCGTCCTCACTAGAACTATAGAAAGTAGATCAGACAGCTGATCCAGACGCTGCTGCCTGCGTCCTCACTAGAACTATAGAAAGTAGATCAGACAGCTGATCCAGACGCTGCTGCCTGCGTCCTCACTAGAACTATAGAAAGTAGATCAGACAGCTGATCCAGACGCTGCTGCCTGCGTCCTCACTAGAACTATAGAAAGTAGATCAGACAGCTGATCCAGACGCTGCTGCCTGCGTCCTCACTAGAACTATAGAAAGTAGATCAGACAGCTGATCCAGACGCTGCTGCCTGCGTCCTCACTAGAACTATAGAAAGTAGATCAGACAGCTGATCCAGACGCTGCTGCCTGCGTCCTCACTAGAACTATAGAAAGTAGATCAGACAGCTGATCCAGACGCTGCTGCCTGCGTCCTCACTAGAACTATAGAAAGTAGATCAGACAGCTGATCCAGATGCTGCTGCCTGCGTCCTCACTAGAACTATAGAAAGTAGATCAGACAGCTGATCCAGACGCTGCTGCCTGCGTCCTCACTAGAACTATAGAAAGTAGATCAGACAGCTGATCCAGACGCTGCTGCCTGCGTCCTCACTAGAACTATAGAAAGTAGATCAGACAGCTGATCCAGATGCTGCTGCCTGCGTCCTCACTAGAACTATAGAAAGTAGATCAGACAGCTGATCCAGACGCTGCTGCCTGCGTCCTCACTAGAACTATAGAAAGTAGATCAGACAGCTGATCCAGACGCTGCTGCCTGCGTCCTCACTAGAACTATAGAAAGTAGATCAGACAGCTGATCCAGATGCTGCTGCCTGCGTCCTCACTAGAACTATAGAAAGTAGATCAGACAGCTGATCCAGACGCTGCTGCCTGCGTCCTCACTAGAACTATAGAAAGTAGATCAGACAGCTGATCCAGACGCTGCTGCCTGCGTCCTCACTAGAACTATAGAAAGTAGATCAGACAGCTGATCCAGACGCTGCTGCCTGCGTCCTCACTAGAACTATAGAAAGTAGATCAGACAGCTGATCCAGACGCTGCTGCCTGCGTCCTCACTAGAACTATAGAAAGTAGATCAGACAGCTGATCCAGATGCTGCTGCCTGCGTCCTCACTAGAACTATAGAAAGTAGATCAGACAGCTGATCCAGACGCTGCTGCCTGCGTCCTCACTAGAACTATAGAAAGTAGATCAGACAGCTGATCCAGACGCTGCTGCCTGCGTCCTCACTAGAACTATAGAAAGTAGATCAGACAGCTGATCCAGACGCTGCTGCCTGCGTCCTCACTAGAACTATAGAAAGTAGATCAGACAGCTGATCCAGACGCTGCTGCCTGCATCCTCACTAGAACTATAGAAAGTAGATCAGACAGCTGATCCAGACGCTGCTGCCTGCGTCCTCACTAGAACTATAGAAAGTAGATCAGACAGCTGATCCAGACGCTGCTGCCTGCGTCCTCACTAGAACTATAGAAAGTAGATCAGACAGCTGATCCAGACGCTGCTGCCTGCGTCCTCACTAGAACTATAGAAAGTAGATCAGACAGCTGATCCAGACGCTGCTGCCTGCGTCCTCACTAGAACTATAGAAAGTAGATCAGACAGCTGATCCAGACGCTGCTGCCTGCGTCCTCACTAGAACTATAGAAAGTAGATCAGACAGCTGATCCAGACGCTGCTGCCTGCGTCCTCACTAGAACTATAGAAAGTAGATCAGACAGCTGATCCAGACGCTGCTGCCTGCGTCCTCACTAGAACTATAGAAAGTAGATCAGACAGCTGATCCAGACGCTGCTGCCTGCGTCCTCACTAGAACTATAGAAAGTAGATCAGACAGCTGATCCAGACGCTGCTGCCTGCGTCCTCACTAGAACTATAGAAAGTAGATCAGACAGCTGATTAGACTGGTTGACAGGGGATCGACAGCCAGACCTCTCAGGTCTCCTGGATCAGAAACAAAGATGGAGGAGCAGCTTTAGTTCTATTCCATTAATCTGGAATTAACGTCCCTAATGTGAAAAGAGCTGAAAGCGTTTAAATCCAGATTAGAAGCAGGTGTGAACATTCTGGTTTCATATTTCTAACTTTGCTTCATGGTGTTTTTCAGCCCTGGTAGAAATAAAGCTGCATCACAGACGGCTCTTTATTTGCATCTATTTGCATCGAACAGAAAACAGGAAGTTTTTTCCGGGTTGATAAACTATTTTTTACTCTTTTATTAAGTTATTATTTCTCGCCGATGATAAAAAATATTGAATATTTTTGTGGCTTGAATGTTTTATATTCTGGTCAGTTCTAATATTATGGATCTGCTTCTAGCTGTAACTCTCCTGTGAGGCAGCAAACCCAGTTTACATCTATCAGCGCCACCTAGAGGCTGGAGTGGTGAAGGCAGCGTCCGGTTCAATGAGACCAGAACCAAGGAGCTGCCGGCAGAATGAGAGGAAGAGTAGAAACAGAACAACTAGAAAACAACCAAAGGAAGGAGCTCTGATGCCTGAAACGTCAGAAAGCAGCAGAACAACAAACAGGCAGGAAGTGAATCAGAGCAGCATCTCTGGAGGATCACCAGAACCCACCAGAACCACCCAGAACCCACCAGAACCGCAGCTTCAGGTGGATCCTGACCTTTCAACCACCAGCAGCCAGCAGGGCCGGTCCCTGAACAGGTTTCAGTGTCTAGATCTGGCCATCACCATGGCAACGGGCTGAGAGGGCGTGAAGAGACGGAGAAAAGGCATACCTGTATGACGAGACTGAAACCTGAGAGGAAGAGGAGGGGGGAGGGGCCGCTCAGGTGAGCAAACAGGTTCAGAGAGAAAAGGAGCAAAAACAATAACAGAGGCGGGTGCTCCGGTACCAACAGAACCCGGTACCAACAGAACCCGGTACCAACAGAACCCGGTACAAACAGAACCCGGTACCAACAGAACCCGGTACAAACAGAACCAAGGCGGGTCCTCCGGTACCAACAGAACCCGGTACCAACAGAACCCGGTACCAACAGAACCAAGGCGGGTGCTCCGGTACCAACAGAACCCGGTACCAACAGAACCCGGTACCAACAGAACCCGGTACCAACAGAACCAAGGCGGGTCCTCCGGTACCAACAGAACCCGGTACCAACAGAACCCAGGCGGGTCCTCCGGTACCAACAGAACCAATCAGCCTGGTTCCATCAACAGAAAATCACTTGTTCTGAACTCAGACCCTGGAGGGGAACTGAGGAGAACCTGTCGGCCCGTAGAACCAGACTGGGTCAATCCTGCAGCTCACATCCCACCGACCCGATCAACCAGAACCAAGAACGAATTGCAGAAATCGACTTTGGTCCAAAAAGAAAAACCTGCAGAGCATCGGAGGAAGAGGAGGAAGAGGAGGAAGAGGAGGGGATGTTTAGGAAAACATGAACAGAACTTTTCTCCTCTTCTGCCCCTTTAAAACCAACCGGACCGTCAAACAGAACCAGAACCAAACGGACCCTCAATAAAGAGGAAAGATTCAGACAGACTTTCATCCAGCAACAGGCAGGGGAGGGGCAGCACTGCTTTACTTCTCCGAGCAGAAGAACCCTCTGATACCTCAGAACCAACCCGGTACCGGTTCTGTTTGCACCACAGACCCATTGGTGGTTCTTGGTTCTGATCCGGATGGTTTCTTTCATCTGAGACCATTTCAATAAGAACCAACATGAAGCAGGAGAAAACCGGGTCAGAACCAGAACAGAAATCCAGTTAGTCTAACTGATACCGGTTCTACAGATCGGTTCTGATTAGCCGAGTCCGTTTAAAGACTCGGACCTCTGCAGTAAAGTTCCTGCTTAAAGCTGCCAAGTCGGACCCTCAGGGTTCTACTCACAGCGAGTCCAGTCCACACGTCACGACCCGTCCGATCCACAGAGACTGCAGCACGCAATCCTGCTGCCTCAGAGCCCCTGAGCAAGGCAGCCTGGGTTGGTGGCTCAGTAACCAATCGGCAGCCGGCGCCGCCTGCTACAAGCCCCACCCACTCTGATTTGAATTCTGCTTTACATGAGGCAGACCAGAAAGAACCGCCTGCAAACAGAACCAAACCAACAAGCTGCTTTGATTGGACCTCCGGAACCCAGAACCTGGAATCAAACCGAAGCTGTGAGAGAAAACCGGTTCTGATTCTGGTCCAGTTCTGGTTCCATCAGCCGTGTCCTGCTGAGCCCAGCAGGTTCTGTTCCTGTAGAACCAGCAGCGGTTCTGGTTTCGGTTTCACTCCTTTTCTCAGGCGGCTCCTGCTTTGTTTATGAGCAAACATCTCAGGTCCAAACCAACCGGATCAGAACCAGAATCTGCTCCTTTTCCTGCATTAAATCCTAACCAATCAGGGCAGGCCGGCGGGCCTCTGATCCGAGTCTCTCAGGTCACCAACCTGCGAGGTTCTCCAGGTCAGCAGCTGACCTTTGACCTCCGACATCGACTCCTTTGGACTCTCAGCTCCAGATTTAAATCCTGCCGTTTTCCATAAGCAGCCTGAGATTTCCCTAAAGAAAAGCACCCATCCTGCCCCCGCCGGGAGACGGCCCGGGGACACAGGTCACCCGGTTCAGGTCCAACGTTCAGGACTCGGATCCCCGTCTTTAAGACAAAGAATGTGTTGCACATTCCAGTCTCCTCCGTCTCCGCTCCTTACAGCCATTCCTACCGTTTTATTTCCAGATTTTATCAGATTATTGTCGCATAAAAACAGAAAAGTTCCATTAGACACATTAGATTAAAAAAAAACAAAAAAACATTGCATGTCTGATTGACAAGGATCCTATTAAAGAAAAATCTGCTTTAATTCACAGAGAATGAAATATTTATAGCGACCCAGTGATAGAAGGTTTATTTTGTTTTTAGTTTAATATGAGCGCGATGCGGATCATTTTATTTTTACAGTGCATGTAGATCGACTCCATGATAACCTACTGGAACAATCTGCAGCCTCTCATTGGGCCTGATAGCCGCCAATAACGTATTACTGAGGGTATGCTGGCCTGACGCCGTATGCTGAGCTGATAGAGCACCGGCCCTCAGAGACGTTCGCTTTCAAACATCAGCAGAGATGATGGAGACTTTCCATCATGGAGGTTCCCGGCAGCCATCTTTGTTTTTAGGAGGTTTGGGTTCAGTTAATTTCATCCATGAAATCAGAATAAAAAAAAAAAACTTCTGGTTTCATTCTCAGATCAACTTTAGTTTGATCCGAAATGTTTAAGATGAAATCTCTGAGCAGGAAGTAGTTCCTGTGTTTATCTTGGCTGACGTCACATCTTGGCTCTGATTGGACGAGCTGCTGCTGAGTCACTTTCTACCAACGACCCGAGGTCGGATACTGACCGCTAATAAACGCTCTGAGCTTTGACCTGCAGGGACATTTACAGTCAATAGGTTTGGAAAGGCTGATGGTGGGACTGGACCGACCCGTCCACCGGTTCCGGTCCAATAAGCTCAGGTTCTCATTGAAAAGAACAGGACAAACATTTCACCACCTAATTAATCTGATGGGAAAAACTCAGAGCAGGAGGCCTGAACCAGCAAGACCCGACCCGGTCTGACCCGACTGGGCCCAGTCTGACCCGACCCGGTCTGCCCCGAACGGGTCTGGTCTGAAGCAGCGGGATGCGACTAAGCCAGACTCAGCCCAGCCGGGCCAAACCGGACCCTGAATGATTCCCCGGGAAAGTCCAAAGCAGAAGAAGGAATTCTGCAGCAGATTCCAAAGATCAGAACCAGAACCTTGACCCAGAAAGGGAGAAATGTTCTGGTTTCCTTCTTTGCTCCAGAACTTCCAGTCAGCCTGATTCAGACCCGGATCATCCCAACATTAGAGGCCAGAACCATCAGAACATTTCACTGGAGAAACTGCTGGGATCCAGAACCAGCTGAGGGTCCCGGTTTTGGACCAGTGGTGCTGATTGGACCCATCAGGACATTTTCCAGGCTTCTGGACCCGTCAGAACCCGTCTCAGAACTTCAGCTTCATGGTTCTGATCCAGTTCCCAGTTATTCCATGAGACCTCCGCCAGAACCGAACCGCGGTTCCTCTCTAAACTCGGTCAATCAAACCGGAAGTAACTCACCAGCGTCCTCAGAAGTTCTGATTCGGTTCCGGTCCGGTTTCTCTCGGCGTTCCTGTCGTCGTGTCACCGAACCATGTTTGTTCGCACCAGCAGCGCCTCTTCCTCCTCTTCCTCCCCGCCCTGCCTCACGCCGCCCCCCCACTAACCTGTCGGACCGGTTCGACGCCTCGAGGCTCAGAGCAACAGGAGCCTCACCTGCCTGCGGAGGAAACACGTCACGCACCGGTGAGAGGCGGTAATTGGAGCCTTAATTGGGCCAGGTGTTGGAAGGGGGCGGAGTCAGTGAGCAGGAACAATAAACCCAACAGTCTTTAATTTCATCACTTTATGACTTTTATTCACAAACAGAACATTTGTTTCGGTTTAAAACCGTTTAAAGCGAAAAATGGAAATAAACAAACAAGATTAAAATCATTAATATTATTTTAATATTTGATAAAAGGCTGTAAATAACGATTATTTAGCAAAACGATTAATAGTCAGATAAGCGAAGGTTCCTTTAAGATTTTTATGAAATTAAACCAGATGAAACTAAAAGTTCTGGATTGTTGGACAGACTGAGAGACTGGAAAGTTCAATTAGTAAATTACTGATGATTATTTCAATAATAGGATTAATTGTTTTAAAGTAAATATTTTATTGTATTATCTTAACATTTAAATGCTGCCACTTGTGTCTCTGCTGTATCTATATATATAATTTTTTATTTTAATTTTTTATTTTATTTCATGTAGTCCAGCGAACATTAAATCTGTATTTTTAAACAAGTTTTGAAGAGTTTTTGTTTTTATTTCTTTTTATGTTTGTATTTTTCACTGTAAATTTCTGACTGTTGTGTTTTTAGGTTCAGAGAAATTTAAGAGATGAAAAATATCCTTTGAACTAATTCTGCTGCATTTGCAGGAAAGCTTATTAATGTTCGCTGTTCCTGTCAAATAAATCAATAAATAAAAATAAACAGGTTTAATGTTTCAGAGCAATAAATGAACTGCAGGGCCCCGCATGCTCAGGGCCCCGAGGGGCCTCTGGAAAAAAAAAAAACAACAACAAAAAAACGTATGAATTTTATACAAACATATTAAAAATATAAATAAATAATTTTCCAGGTGTTCATTCTTTTACTTCTATTGTAACGGTGGAGGAAAGATGCCAGAAAACAGGAGCTGCTTTTAGGGTCAGATGGAAACACAGAGCAGGAGGAACTAGAAGCTTCAGTTAAAGATTTAAATCCTGTTTCCTATTTAATGTAACTTTATGAAGACGAGATCCTCAGATTCTAGTTTGTGATGATAGTTTAAATATAAACGGATCTTTATTGATTAATAAACCAATAAATGCCAATTGTGCTTGATTCACTTTTATTTTAAAAAAATCTAGAATCATTAAAACCTGAAATAAAGCCCAAATAACTTTTTTCAATATTCTGAGGGATTTTATTCTCTCCTGCTAAATTAAAAGGTAGATTTCAAAATTTTCCTTCTTTATTGGACATTTTTTAGCAAATTAAAAAGAAAATAAATGCTTTCGATTGCTTTGTTCTTGTCTTCCATGTAGATCACATTTATAAAATCCAAGCTAAACTAATCTGTACCTGAAGAAATGTATTTTTTAAAGCCTAACCAAAGTAAACCAGTGGAAGGTTTCAGTGTCTCTGGTCTTTGCTGTGCAGTCAGTGGCACATCATGGCCACCAGAGCGCAGTAACACACCATAAACCCACCAAATGCTTCCAGGCCCTGAATCCCCTGAAACCCTAACCCTGCAGCTCTGGTGATGGATGGAAACACCCTGATGGAGCCTCAGTGAGGATGGTGAGGGGAACCTGTGCTGGACTTCTGATGGAAGCTGATCCTGATCCTCCTGCAGGCTTAAAGGGTTTCTTCTTCTTCCCAGGATTCAGCTCCATCCGTCTCCTCATGAACTCTGTACCATCCTGCTGAAGGAGGAAAGCCCTCAGGATGATTCTGCCACCACCATGTTTCAGAATGGTATTTTAGCTCAGAGTGGTCTCCTCTGAGCGGAGCAGCCTCTTCATCTCTGGCAGGCGGTCCCTCCACGTTCTGATGGTGAACAAAGACCTGGAGATGTTCAGCGTCTGACAAACACAGCAATGATCCAGGAAGTCTGACAGGAAACATCCTGATCATCTCTGAAGGGTCCTTATTGATCGGAGGCATCAGCAGGAACCAGGAACAGGAGAGACAGTTAACGGCTAAAGTGTTAGCTTCGGACAGCTGAGAGACAAACCAGGCAGAAATAGTTTCACACTCAGGATTTTATCCTTTATTTTTCTTTCTCATAGTCTGAACCAATAGGTTCCTGTAAAACATTAAAATGGAAAAATAGTTTAAACTTCTGCATGAGAGAAAAAAGAAAAGTTAGCTGAAGCTGGATGCTAACGTTGAATCGTTCTTCCTTTGGTCCAGAAACTGGGATTCAGCTGAAGAACATTTAGTTCATCCATGCTTTGGTTTCTTCTCTGCATTTACCTGGAATGGGTTCATAGTCACCTGGTGACACGGAGATGACCAGCTGGGTGTGGTCTGCGTCGCCATGGTAACTGATGTTTATCCAGATGTGAGTCAAGAGTACATGGAGGGGCCCTAAGGTGGAGCCGTGGGGAACGCCTCCTGGCATCTTTGTGGTTCTGATGGAAAGTTTCCTGCTGAAACTAAAACTGTTATCAAGTAAAAGATGAAAGGAATCACGGGTGGAAACTCAAATGTTTCATTTCTGTTTCCAAGCAGGTGGATTCCAGGAACTTCAGGATCCTTCAGCTTTTTTCTGTCTGTTTAAGTTTCTGCGTCTGAATTTTCCTGATAGTTTTTGTTATTCTGAAAAAGTTCAGACCTGCTGGAGAAAAAGCTGGAAAATGAGGATCTTTCTGGCGACCTGTTAACTCAGAGAACCTTCAATTTCTAAAAGTTTCATGTTTGGAAGCAAAGCTGCGGAAAAGGAAAGCAGATTTTTGGGCAGACAGTCCTTTCCAACTTTTATCTGCTACTCTAAACCCTCAGGACCTCATTAAGAATGAAGGTTTTTATCTGACTGTTTCTGGGGCTGGAAGGTTTGCTCACATTTTGCTGCCAACACAGATATTTCCAATTTCCATGGAAGGAGAACCAGACGACAAGCCTTCACATCAGTTTGGAAGCTGAAAATCTCAGCATCTCCACTGTGATCCTTTGAGGCATTTATTCCCTTCCTCCAGCAAACACTCTGAGATTTAAAGCAGCCTGTAGCTGCAGCATTGGTCAGCAGGGGGCAGCGGTGTCACAGCCTTTAGCTCCTGACCTGGAGTCTGGAGGAATCCGGACTCTCATTAAGACCCTGTCCACACAGCCAGGATCTCAGCCCCCCTTCCTTCAGTCCCAACAGCCAGGAAACACAAAGCTGCAGCACTAATGGATCATTTTCTAAAAAGGCTTCAGAGAGAGAATCAGACTTCTACAAACATTACAGCAAACATCTCTTCTTTCCAATTCAATTCTATTCAGTTTATTTCTATAGCTCCAATTCACATCATGTCATCTCAGGTCACTTTCCAGTTCACCAGATCATCCAGTCAGATTGATTCAAAGTTTTCTATCTAAGGAAAACCAGCTGATTGCATCGACTCATTGACTCTGTACGAATTCATGGGATGCGTCCTCAGAAGGCCAGATTCGAAGGCTGATGACGTCATAGCGCGGCGCCAAGGTCTGGTTGGATTCCAGGGCTGTTTCTCAATTCACAAGAATGCGACTATGGACTCATGTTCTCACCAAGTCAGTTCTTGACTAGAACCCAGGAAAGTCTGGACTCGGGGAGAACGGGAGCAGAATAAATCTGGGTCAACTGGAACAGAAGCGTACTGATGACATCACCACATTCAAAGCTAGTCTGGAGCTGCATTTCACCTCCTGTTATTAACAGTCTCTAGATTAAAATAAATTATGACTTGAACACAGTCAGATAAACACAAATCAAATGAACATTTAACCAAATAAAACAATCTAACCTCCATCAGAGCCAGCGGTCCTTCACACACGGCTATGAAGAGAGAGGGCTGCTGCAGACGGGCTAGCGTTAGCCCTGGCCGCTGCAGACGGGCTAACGCTAGCCCTGGCTAATGCAGACAGGCTAATGTTAGCCCTGGCTGCTGCAGACGGGCTAACGTTAGCCCTGGCTGCTGCAGATGGGCTAACGCTAGCCCTGGCCGCTGCAGACGGGCTAACGTTAGCCCTGGCCGCTGCAGACGGGCTAACGTTAGCCCTGGCCGCTGCAGACGGGCTAATGTTAGCCCTGGCCGCTGCAGATGGGCTAACGTTAGCCCTGGCCGCTGCAGACAGGCTAACGTTAGCCCTGGCCGCTGCAGACGGGCTAACGTTAGCCCTGGCTGCTGCAGATGGGCTAACGTTAGCCCTGGCCGCTGCAGATGGGCTAACGTTAGCCCTGGCCGCTGCAGACGGGCTAACGTTAGCCCTGGCTGATGCAGATGGGCTAACGTTAGCCCTGGCCGCTGCAGATGGGCTAACGTTAGCCCTGGCCGCTGCAGATGGGCTAACGTTAGCCCTGGCCGCTGCAGACAGGCTAACGTTAGCCCTGTCTGCCGTTAGCCCGGGAGGTTTGCTGGTTGCTGCAGTCATCTCAATTTCAGATTTTTTTTTATTATGCATTAAATCAGTAAATGTTCCATATAGTGACTCTTTAAAGTTTAATATTCTCGCCTCAAATAATCTTAAAACGTACTTCTATCGAACAACAGCAACAGAAAAGAGAACGTTTAACTTTAAATGGAGCTTTAGAAGCTGCTGCTGCTGCAGTGCATGCTGGGACAGCTATCAGTTAGGAGAATGGACAAGTCTGCTCTGATGCATGCTGGGTAAAGAGGGCGGGGCCAGAACAACATCCGGGGATTTGGCACGTTCTCTATCTTGCGTTCTTGGCGTTTGGAACAGAACGCTCAAGATTGCATATTGAGAAACGGGCCATTTCTCAATATGCGATCTTGAGCGTTCTCGTGTTCTAGAGACGATTAATAACAGGAGGTGAAATGCAGCTCTAGACGAGCTGAGCTAATGGTGATGTCATCAGTACACCTCTGTTCTAATTGACCCATATCTATGCTGCGTGCTCCCGTTCTCACCAAGTCTACACTTTCATGGGTTCTTCTCAAG